AACATTTACCTATACAAGTTTTCAGAGCAGTAAGCAGAAAGAAAAAACTTTGAGCAGTTGGACCACGAGGTATTACGTGAGACCTACCTTAGCTCCTTTTTCATTTGATTAATTTGAGATTCATAGTAATCAATCAGACAAAGAAACCTGAAAAAAAAAAAAAAAAAGGAAAAATAAATAAAATTATAAATAAAAATAATCGTGTCCTAAAGATACTATAACCAGCCCATTGGAAGAGGACAGCTTGCACAACTGCACTGTTTCAGAAGTGACTGCATCAAACAGTAGGTTCTCCCTCATATCCAAAAAAGAAATGTAGAGACATTAACCCTGTATTAGGCTCAAAGTGTTAAAATTACTCAAGACAAGACAAAAGCTAAATCCTTCTGACAGCTTCCTTGCCTTCTGCCTGTTTTCCCAGCACACTTAACAGCATGGCACACTCAGTTCTAGGGCTACAGTGACCAGAACGAAGGGTCCCACATAGCCTGAGAACAGGGATCTCCAAAAAACTGCAAGTGCTTTCCAAGAAGCAGTTGCAAGAAAATAAAGCCACAAAAAACTGGACAGCTGAGAAACTGCCTTTCCTCTTGAGCCACTCTGTGATTTTCTGTTTAGATACAGGTGAGAAGACCCAGGGAACCAAATTCAGTGATCCTTTTTCTCATTTAGTGAGGGCACAGCAAGAAAATGTCAGAAGCACACAGACAAACCCTTTGAAATTCTTCCTAGGTTAACATTACTAGTCAGACTTGGATGACCCAGCCACACCAGCACAACTAAGCGACAGGTACGCGAGGCCTAAAAACTGTCTAATCTCTGATTATAGTAGACATGTAGAAGTTTTATTCCACGAAACATATGCTTAGAATATTTTTATAACTTGCACAAAAGTACCTGGGAAAACTTACAGCATGCCTGCAGTTAGCAGGTGCAAAGACTGCTTTCCCAGACTGTTTCTTAAATTTACATTTTAAAACGTTAAATCCCAGAATGAAATCACCCTAGCAGATGCTGAATGTCCACAGTGAATCATTCTTCTCTCTTTGCTGACACCTAGCGTATGCAGTGGCTGAGAAGTTTTACTTTTTGCCATGGATTTATCCAGCTCACATTTATCATGCAACAACAAATTATTGCATTAATGTACCTTTACAAGGCTTCATATTTCAGCTTGCACTCCTAAGGTATCCAACTTTCTTTGTATTAAGTATCAAGAACAATTATTCTAAAATCTGTTTCTTCGTTTAATGCTACAGATCATTTGCCAATACAAGAAAATTTCTTACTGCTGATCCAGAAGCGACTTGGGAGCTCTTTTGCAAAACCGGCAAAACATTTTGGTTTGTGTGGCAACACGCTGCTGCTCCTCCATCCCAGCTTTGCACAGCTCCTTCTGCAAACGGGCAATAATTTCTTCCTGTTCTTGCAGCTTTTCCTGTTGCTGTTGATATTTTGACTGTGAAGAGATTATAGGAGCATTCTGAAATTATTCTAATTTGCACACCGGAGACAGTGCTCTACTAGCCCAAGTAGCACTTGGTCCTAAGGAAGCTTAGCACTTGCTTTTTAGACATACTGAAGAGGCAGTGGAAGAAGGGTTCATATTTTTTCCAATTTATTATAAGAAAATGCTTCAAAAAATGTAAAATCTTACCAATGAATAATGTACTAACTCTGACACAAGACTCGTGTTTATCTTGACCTATGTAAATATTTCTAGTGCTTTCAAAAGAAGTCAAAAGTTTGAGTCCTCAGACAGCACTGTGTGAATTACCTGTGAGACCTGCTGATCTTTTTGAAGTTCTTTGACTTGATTCTGTTGCTGGCAAACTTTAGCTATCGTCTCATCTTCCAGCTGACAAATTTTTGATTTAATGTTTTTCACCACGTTTTCCAACTCATTAGCCCGTTGTTCTTGTCGAGATGCCCGACCTCGTTCCTGTCGTATCTCATCTCTAAAAAGATAAATCCTTGATTCAAATTAAACTCATTTCACTAAATACAGTGAAGGATGCGCAGGCCCGACAAACATTATCTGATAACACCCAGTAATAGCCTACGGCAGCAGATACAGTAAATATGCTGCTGTGAGACAAAGCAGCAGATTAATTAAGACAAAAGCTCAAGCAGATCTAGGCCAGCATTGCTGCATGCTGGACAAAAATCTCAGGGAAAAGGTCTCAGGCCTCGGGTGTGACAAGCTCCACCCGGCAGAGCTTTTGCTCTGCATTAGCAAGTAAATTCCTTCTGCCACATCTCACCTCAGATTACGATTAGCCTGCATGAGGCCTTGCATCATCCGCTGGTGGCGGTCAGTGTCTTCCACCAATGTTGTTAATGCAAGCCTTATTCCCAGAGAAGACTGAGTATCTATGACGATCATATCTGGAAAAATACAGAATAAGCAAAGTCTTAGCAAAAGGCTTTTAATAACTGAAGAAGACTGTATCACCGCTACCAAATGGAAGTGATGGCTTTAGAAATACCTTATGAATTCTGGCTTAGGTATGCAAGAACTTGTAAAATTGGCTTTTCCTTACCTGATACATTTCTGCTGTTTTGGGGGGCAGCAAGACTCACTGGTCTCAACCCATGCCGCATTAATAGCTTGTTTAAGTTTTCCCATTCGGCTTTCTCCTGCTACAGTTGGGAGAAGAGGCAGAAACATGAATCCTGAAGACAAGCCATGGCCTCCTATTCCTCTAGTTGTGCATACAGTGGAAGACACCCAATGCCCCCAAATAAAAACCCAAACCAACACAACGACAAAAGCACAAGAAGTAACGGGCACACAGTCACACCAAGCCACAAAAGCCACAGTCGCTCTAGGTGGACTTGTAATATCCGTAAAAAATATTGGGGAAATAAAAACACTAAACTGCGCACAGACCATCCAGGATATTTTGATCACTGTTATAAGAGAAAAATACCAGATCAGGCCCCAAGCTCGGGCTCTCCCCTGGCGGCAGCGCCTCAGGGCCAGCCCTGCCTCACCCCCTACCTCCCGGCCGGGCACAGCTTCTCGGCAGCCGTGCACCCGTTTTGCTCCGTGTTTTATTTTTATTTTTTATTTGGTTTTCACCGCCCGGCAGCCGGGCCAGCCCGCGCTCACCCCGGTACCTCAGCCATGGCGAGGAGCGGCGGCTCCGAGTGCGGGGAGCGGGGCGACGGCGGAGAAAAAGGGAAGAGAAGGAAGGGATCGAGCAGCTGGCAGGGATGGCGGCGAGATGGAGGGCGGGCTCCGGAGGCTCCTGAGGCGATGGGGCCGGGGCTGGGGCTGAGATGAGGCCGGGGATAACGTCCCGCCCGTTCTCCCGCCCGGTGGCTGTGAGGGAGGGCAGGGGGGCGGGCGGCCGCCATTTTGAGGCGCGGGGCGGAGCAGGGAGCGGAGCCCCGCTGAGGTAGGAGCGGGGCAGGGCTGGGCCGAGCACGGGCTCTGGTTCTGGTTCTGATCTGGGTCCGGGTCCGCTTTTCTCTCCCTCAGGCACCGCCGTGGAAGGGGTGGGCAACAGCCGGGGGTGGGGTAGGGCGGCTGCGGAGCCCGGGCTGCTGCCGTGCTGCGTTATCCGGCTGCCAGGAGGCGGCACCGCGGGTTTAAGTGCAAAAGAATGATGTTTTGTGATAAATTCTTGTTTTTGTCCTTCTGCACGGCACGTTACAGGACGAGGCAGGCTCTCGGGATGGTGTGGGAGGTGCTGGGAGAGGATTTGTGTCTGTGTGTGTGTGTGTGGTGGGGGAGCCCTGTGCCCTGGGCTCAGTACCTCCTGCTGTACCCACACACCTCACAGCAGCAGTTTGGGTGGGTTCCTCGCAGAGACCCTATTTCTGCTTTATTTATAAATAATAAACAAGCCCCTGCCTGTACAGGACTGCATCCCATGGGGGGCTGCTCACCTGGGCAACGGGAAATGCCGTGGAATGATGCAGCCTTTGCTTAGGGCACTTTCATCTCATCAGAGACAATAAATGATCTCTGAAACAATCTATTTTTTTTTCCGTTTTCAAACAGAAACATTTGTCACTACTGCCAAAAACACAAACAGTCCTACAGCAGTGTTACGCACGTTTTAAAATAGATGCTTCAGTCAGACTGAAGGAGGTTTAATTTTAAGTGCATGCTTACCATTGTGCTGAAAAGAGACCCTAAAGCTTACAACCTTAATTCATTTTTTCACTAGAAAGTACAGTTATCAAAAAATCAGTTGTCACTTTAATTATAGCTGTTGGTAACTAATAACTCCATTGGGTTAGAGCGAAAGAGCTTGCTTTAGAAGTGCCTTACGGTATTCTTCTGACAACCCATGGGAGTTTCGTTATGGCTTGTGTAATTAGCAGCATAGCTGAGTCCTTTCCTTAATGCAGATAGCTCTAGCACAAACTGATTTGGTTAGTCAAAGCAACGTATTAGAAATAAGCCAGCAGTGTTGTAAAACCACAGTCATTGTCAAAACAAAACCCTTAAGCGAGAAGCAAGTGATTTATTTGTGATGAACGTAGCTGTTACCATAGAATTGCCAGGTTGGATTGCTACCAATGATTGTTGAAAACTTCGGCAATGATTTAGAAAAAACAGCAGGTGGAAGTTGTTCTCCTCTGCTATTTCACGTCCCAAGGTGGCAGTAGCCTCTGGTTACCGTTTGTGACTGAGGTGTGGAGGCCTGGCTTTAGTTCCTGCTTTGGTCAAGCTGTTTCCTTCCAAGCTTTTGTCAGGCAAACCATTGTTCCATCAAAGAAGTGACAAAATTGTGATGTGCTACCAAAGGCAGAGTTAATTGCACATACTGCTTTTGTAAATTAATACTTTTATCTGCCTTTTAGTCCAAAAGTGTATTACCACTTATATTTCTGGTAGTGCATGACAGTTCTTGACACTTTAAAAAATAACCATGACCTTACCTGGAGAAACAAGGAAAATGTAGCTGTCAGCACTTTCCTGCTGCTATTCTGCTCTTCTTTTTTTCTTGCTGCTAGTTGGATTAAAAGCCGTTTTGGTTACTATGGCATCCCGCGAGGAGATTACTGTCTATGAAGATGAAGTAAGGTAAAATACCAGAACTGAGTATGAACAGCTTTTGGAAAGATATCCACCATTCCAGCAGTCGCTTATGACAGTATCTAAACTCTAAAATTATTTAAATGGAAGGATATCTTTCCCAATCTTCTCCCCTGTGTGTGTTTGTGTGTGCAGAGTTGTATCTATGAATGATGTAGGTAAAACTTATGAGAGATTACAGACAAATTCGTTAAAACAGAGTAAATTATAATAGCTAAACTGGTCATCCCAACTATTTTTCAAGCTTAGAAGCTAAAACAGTTTCTCAGAGACCAAATAAAATACTGCGTTTTAGTGCCTGCCAAGAAATAATTGTCAAGGAACATCTGAGCTCTGAGTACAACTTTTTAGCTATGCTGTCACCTGAAATGGATGTTTTAGAGGTTAGACGGATATATGTCTTTGTACGGCGTTTGTCAAAGTGAGTTTATTTACCAGTTTTTTGTGATATTTTTGTAAAACATGAAATTGTAAGTAATTGTGTAAGCTTCGTCTTTCAAGTCTCATTTCACAGCTGTAAAAGGCGACTTGCCTGAAGCAGTGAAGCTTTGAACTGTAGTCATCAGAACTCTTTCAGTGACAACTAATTTACTTTGTTGTGTTTCCAGTAGGTCTCGGTACAGCCACTTGGAGAAGATGACAGACCTGGTGGCTGTTTGGGAAGTAGCTTTAAGCGATGGTGTCCACAAGATTGAATTCGAACACGGGACCACTTCAGGAAAACGTGTCGTCTATGTTGATGGCAAGGTGAGTTTGCTCCGTGCTCAAAATTTGCTGAGATACAGATCATATAAGTGCACTTCCATTCAAAAGCCATCAGAACAAACAAAAAAAGCCTAATACATGCAAGTGAGGTATATTCAGTTGGCTAACTTTGCCTAATTTAATGAACTACATCATTTCAGTTAGTGTTAGGGTATGAGTACTGAGCTATTTCCTCAGTTCTAGTTCATTTTGTGTTAATACTAAAACATGTTTCCAGGTTTGTCCATGAATACCCATGGTCTTTATTTTCTTTTCCCCAGGAGGAAATACGAAAAGAATGGATGTTTAAATTAGTGGGTAAAGAAACATTTACTGTCGGAGTAGCCAAAACCAAAGCTACTATTAACATTGATGCAGTCGGTGGTTTTGCATATGAATATACTTTGGAGATCAATGGAAAAAGCCTCAAGAAATATATGGAGAACAGGTCAAAAACAACAAATACTTGGGTACTGAGCTTGGGTGGTACAGACTATAGGATTGTTCTAGGTAAGTAAATACTGAATAACTTCATGTTGCTGCCTTCCAATAAACTTGTGTGCACTAAATAACTGAAAATTAAGAGAACGCATAGTTCAGTGGCTAACACTATTAGAGAGAAAAATCCTGGGTGGTCTGGAACTTCAGAATTAGATGCCAATGACAGTCAAAAATAGCAGTCTTGTTAGGTCTGAGGGAGCCTGCTGTTAGTTTTCTGTTCTGCAGCACCGTTGTTAACTAGGTAACCAGTAAACAATGCTTTCCTTTCAGAAACCATAAGCCAAAGTCAAGGAGTCTTTAACTGAAGGAGTATGAAGGTGTTACCCTTCATTTTTTGATAAATTAATTGGCTTGATATTTTCTGCAGCACTTTTTAAATGCAAATTCAATCTAGAATTTCCAGATAATGGTTTTTCACTTTCTCAGCAGCAGGGCAGTATATCTGTTTTCCTCCACCCCCCTTTCCAAAATACATTATAAGAAGATGGGTGGGAGGGAATCCACTGAGGAATTTGTCCATGGCATCTATCAGGAGAACTTCCTCTTGGGTATTGCTGTATGGTTAAACCTGGATACAAGAGATACTGGGCTCTGATTTCTTCCTAAGCCTAAGGACAGAATGAACTGCCCCAAGGTGACGATGTTGAGGGGGAGAAAGGCAGTTTTAATGACAGAGATAACCTGGTCTCCTCAAAGACTTTTTAATTTCCCTGTACTTACTTAAAAGGCAAGCAATATTCAACTCTCTATTGATGGTCTGTGGACAACAGCGTCAGTAATGTAATTTAGGAGGTTCCAGAGCAACGTAATTTAGGAGGTTCTGCTGGGAAAAGTAAAAATGTACTGTTTCAAATGAAAATAAGAATCATATTTAAAGTGATACTTCGGTTTTCAAAGGGATTTTAAGAATACAAACAGTACAAATAGATGTTAAATAATGCTGCTTTTGAATTAAGCCTATCTGGAAAAAAATGTTAGCTTCATCAAATAAGCAGTACTCAAATAATTAGCACAAATGGCTTCATTTTTGTTTTCAAATTTTTCTGTTTAAGAATGTCAGAACATCGCTTACAGTATTGAGAGCAATGCAGTGTTAACAGCCAGGGCTAGGGAAAGGTAAAAATGTGTATTCACAGCAAAAATAGTTTGCCCATTGATGGCAGAGCCTCCCATCTTTTAGAACAAACTTGTAGCTCAGGTACTGCGGTTAATTAGGAACTTTTCTGAGGAATTAAAAGTAACGTACAGTAAATTTTAAAAATTCTCAGATCTCCCTGTCTGCAGGGGGAGGAGGGAGAGTCTTGTTCTTTTTACTTTTTGTTCTCCTTTCCTTCACAGAAAAGGACACAATGGATGTGTGGTGCAACGGTAAAAAAATGGAAACAGCGGTACGTGATCATTCCCAAAGGCTTTTCCTAGGCTATGGCTGTGTGACCAAAGCTGACCAAAATCAGCCACAGCACGTATCTGTAACGGGCTAGCTAAGCCCCAGCGAGGAGCACGGCACTTCAGCAGGGAGTATGAGCATACATTGAGATAGACAGTGTGCTATTGCCTGTCCTGAACTTCCTTCGCTGTTATTTTATAACCAAGAACATTTTATATCCTGACTTAACTGTTAAGATGCCAAAAGTCTAGCCCTATAAGGATAAACAATGCTTTACACTTTTTAGACAAATCTTCTGGGCCAGTTGTCCAAGGTTTTTAGGGAGAACACTTAGAGGGGAGTGGGAGGGACTCAAGTTTGTCACAGACTCTAGAACCACCTCATCCAGACCCGCTCACGGTAGCGGTGACTGGGAGCTTAACACCTGTATTCTTTTATGGGTGCTGATTTTGGTCGATCTAGAGATGGTCCCTAACACTTTGGGCTTAGGTAATTTTGTTGGAACAAATAAAATCTTCTTGCCACACCAGCATTAATGTGTAGAGCAGATGGGCTGTTAAAAGGCTTCACATATTTGGTGCCTTTATTTTCTGATGGTTCTATGTAGACTTCCCCATCCTCAAAGGATGTGCTTTCTCACCAGAGCTCACAAACTCAAACATTGCCATTTCTGCTTACGTGAAATCTTGATTGTCATTTTCACAAATCTTTAACTGGCAAAGCTGCATCTGTGATTCTGCAGTGTTCTTCAGCAACCACCCACGGCTACTCTAATTACAGGAGCTACAAGTGGTCGTGACCTTGGTAACAGTCTGATGCACTGAGCTTTTATTCTTACCGAAATACCGCGTCTGTTTTTATTCTTGTCTCCTTTCTCCCAGGGTGAATTTGTAGAAGATGGGACTGAAACGCACTTCAGTGTTGGTGACCACAGCTGTTACATTAAGGCTGTCAGTAGTGGAAAACGAAAGGAAGGAATTATTCATACTCTTATTGTGGATGACAGAGAAATCCCAGAGGCTTTGGAGTAGCCTCTGCTTAACCGCTGGCTGTAGGACTAAGATCAGAAATTTCCAATTACTGTGGTAATTATTTGAATAAGAGGCATTTGGATAATGCCCTCGCTAATATGCTTTACTTTTTGATTAGCCCTGAAGTGGTCAGGCAGTTGGACTTGCTGATCGTTGTAGGTCCCTTCCAACTGAACTGTTCTGTGCGTAGTACTTGGCACACCTAGTTGGTGCTGGGTTTAGTTTCTAGGTTCTGTACCTGAAATTAATCTTTTTGAGGACCAGAGGAACACAACTGTATACAAGCTCTTACATTACCATTTTTTTAAAAAAGCTATATAGAGAAAATATGTGACACTAAGTGCAGAGAGGGCAGGTAAAGTTATGCAAATATACATACTAGGAAAAAAAACCTTGCTATAATAAATTGCTATAATAAAAAGCAAGCTTAATATTCAGTAAGATGCAATCCTTTAAACACGTGTATTTGGAGGGAGAAAGCACATACTGAACATCAGAATGAGCTGTTAAAGTTCTCTCAGTAATTACTTTTTTTCCTATTAAACTGACTTCAAGTGTTTTCCGGATGCTGTTAGGAAAATAGTTACATAAATCAATAAAAAGGTTATTAAAGGTTGGTACGAGTTCTTGCGTAACTGTATTCAAGTTGTATTGTGCTATGAAAACTGTTGTTTATCTAGAGCAAGAGGAAAGATGATACATTATGAAAAAAAAAAAAACTAGTTTTTTTTTTTTAAACTGATGCTTGTTAAGAAATTTTTGCAGTAGTTCAGAAGCTCTGCCCTGAGCTTCTCAAAAAAACAAAACAAAACACACTACCACCACCAACAAAAAAAAACAAAACACAAAAACCCAATAGCAATAAAATTTCTCCCATGAAACATTTTAAAACTGAAACCTCTTGAAGGAAGCTGAAATAAGAGTCTATTCTGCGCTGTCTAATCTTAAATCTACAGTGCTCTATTTTTCTGGCAGTAAGGTGTGACTAAGGAAACATAAGGAACATGTCTCCAATTGCAGCAGCCTTAAGAGTTCAGAATTAGGTTTTTAGAACTTATATTGTTTGGGGCTTTTCACCTGTTCCTAGCATTGGAAATACTACGTTGGGAATTCCAGGTACAGATAGGAAATCATTAAACAAAGCATTTGAAAATAATTGTTAAACACCGATTACATTTGTATTTTAGGGTTCAGCCTGCTTAGTGAGCACAGTGCTTCACAGGCAGATGAAACACTTTTTGTATGATAATTTCCCTGGTTTTTTTTTTGGTTTGGTTTGGTTTTTTAATAGTTTTGTGCAAGCCCTTCTCCCCAGGTAATTACAGTTTTTAACCACAGGTAACTCCTCAGTCTAAAAGCAGACCTGACATTGACAGCTGAGCTCTTATTTATGTATTGCATCACTGTTACAACCTGTTAAAATGTTCAATTGTGGATGTAAATGGTGGTTCTAAAAGCTTTGGATTGTACAAACCTGCTAGTAGCTTTTACTTTTGGATAATGGATTTGTCTGATATCAGGATGGTTTAAAACAATTTCAGGCTTTACTACAGAAGGTTTTAGAGTACCTGAGAGCTGGACAAAATCCGTTTTTAAATTGAAATGAGTCTCATAGTTCTTAGGTTTTACCACTTACTGTCTTCAGGTCACCGCAGCAGCAGTATGGACATGGCTAGATACAATGTTGACACTGTAATCTCTAAAAGATACCGGTAAAGGCAGATTATTAAAGAGCAATTCCAACTGTAACTTGAACCAGTTCTCTACTTTCATTGTAGCCTTGCAAAGAGATTGAATGCCACTGAGAAATCTGTACCATAAGGAAAAAAAAGTATTAGCTGATAGTATCATTCATAATTTTTATTTTGAATACAAGAATCTACAATGATTGGAATTTCTTAACCAAAACTGTAATAGCAACTACTGTTAGAAATCCTGAAGCGTTGCTTCATGTTTGTCTAAGTGTGTATGTAACAGTACAGCCCTATGTGGAAAACAGCATTCACCTGATACATTGTCCATTTCAGTCAAAAGAAGATTTAAGAATCAAATCAACCTCAGTGCTTTGGGTTTCACTATTACATGAAATATCTTAGATTAATAAAGTATAGTAGAAAAAAAGACAACTTATGCAAACATGTCATGTGTAGTCACGTGCTAAGAATATTAAGATAAATGTTGAACTATTTTATGATGCTTTCCATTCTATTTTCATACACAGATGAACTCAGATTGTTCTGATCTCCTTAAGGTACCAGCTTACTTGTCCTCATAGATAGTTCAGAGCTGTCAAGAGGTTCTTTGGTCACAAGGCATTACTAGGAAGGGCACCCTCTTGAGGTCTAAGTAGCAGACTTTGTTCTAAGGGGTACTTCACCATAGCTAGCATTCTGCCTAATGCTTACTCAGGATGCTGCTGGTTTCTGCAGGGGTCCACGTGCCTCTACTTCATTTGGGAGCAAGTCAACAAGTAATGTGGAAGGGCCTGAACACTGTTGCAAATGACAAAGATGCCAGGATTGCTTTCATCATCTACTAAGCTGTCATACATCTTAGTGGCATCTCCCTCCACTGCTGGTGGGATAATATAAGACTGCCTGCCTCCAGTGTATAAGCCTGTTAACACATCAGCCTCAAACACATACATTTTTGAGTCGTTTTCCCAATCCCCTCCATCCTCAATTAGGCTTTTTGGGTTCCTTTTAAAGTAAATGCCAGCTCCGTATCTTTGATCTGGAAAAGAAAAATATTTTGAGAAAAAGGTCATTAAAAATAGGTTCTTTTGGGGCAGTAGTGCTAAAAGACTGCTTTTTTATTCAATATTACATTTAATGTTTTTGCTCAGTATGTCAGCCTCTTGGAAGTAAATTTATATTAAGTGACTTTTGAGGCTAGCGCTGAATTCCCATTGAAATTACAAGCAATGACAGCTGGTGGCCATTCTGATTTACTATTACTCCAGTGATGACTATTCTGATTTAACTGGTAAGCCGGTAATAGAAACATGAAGGGATAATGTATTTGTATCAAAACTTATGTCACCATGTAGTGGGATTCAGATATGCACCAAAGAAGGTAAGACTTTAATAATGTAAGCTGCAAAAAAGCTTTGGGATTTATATGGGGAGTACTGCATAAAAATGCTACTATGTTGTTGTGAAAAAATGCAGAGAAATAAATGAGACCTTCATATTTATTACTTCGAAACTGTGACTATGTGCTATTTTTGTTGCATAGACAGGGAAAAGCAAATACACATTTATTTAGTTAGTTTATTGCCTGAAATTCCAGTTCTGCATTTGACAAGCAACATATCACATGCTACTGCCCTTCATCTATTGCAGGGCGAGGCACTAAAAGCTTACTCTTTCTGTTTCTGAAGTCATCTTGAACACCATCTATTAGACCATTTCATACAAACTGTGACGAGCTTTCTGGTTGAGTGTTTTTACCTACTTTCTTCCTAAGTGTCCTCTGCTCTAGTTTGCCTGGTACTCCACTCAGTCACTGCTTCCTCCGATCGCACCTGCCTTGGGCAGGGCATCAGACGAGGCCTTCAGCAGTACCTCCCAGCCTCAATTCTGTGATACTTTTGAATGGGTTTTAAAGCATCGAGCTGGTAACTGCCTGTTTGCAGCAAGTCAACATGGACTTGGACCTTTACAGAGTGATACAACAAAACAAAACTTGGACATGGTGTTACATGTAAATTAACAATTCTGTCAGCAGCAGCTGGGCTAGACAAGAATCCAGGTTTATCCTCCCAGAGACTTTACTGACTACAGTATTAGGAAGGGAAAACACTAAAATCTTGGTTGTGTGTATAAAAAAATAATCTCATAAGAGCCTGGTAAGAAGCACTTCTTGTGTAAGACAGCACCATTCTTTCTGATTTCAATCCAAATTCAACAGCAAGTCACTGTTCATTTTGATCAAAGGTACAAGTTATGTTACCTGTTGGTGGTGAATACATTCTATGAAATCCTGTCTGGCATACCGAGGTACAGAACTCTGCAGGAACACGTTGGTACAACTTGTGGGATACGTTGGAGGAACCTCCTTTTTCTTCTATATTTTTTTTCATTTGTTGGAAGGCAGCAGACAGGAGAGGATTGCGGATTTTTTCAATCTGTAACATAAGTCTAGCGTAAGCAAACAGAGCAGTATCCATGACATGCACAAGAGCTCTTGTTCAGGCTACGTTCTTCAATGTAAGAACTTTAGATTTAAGTTACATGCATTGACCACGTAGGAGCCATGCTGTTATCCAATGCCTCTCACTGAAATCAGCAGGAACGTATCTTACTGTACCGATTTCCTGCAGTTACATTGTGCTGAGCAGACTGAGTATCAACCATACGTGAGAATAAGCTTTGTGGGTGCTTACAGCCTAATCTTGTAGGCAACTGGAAGTGTCCTGGCAGACACAGAGAACCTCAGCTCTCAGTGATCAGAACTTTACAGCTAATTTACAGCTAATTTTTACATTTTAGCTAATGTAAATTGGACTCTCAGGGAAATAGTTCCATTGTTAAGACAGCCTTTCTGTTAGCTCGTGTCTTGAATGCACAGCTGCATGCATGCAGCATGAGGAGCACCACAAAGAACTCCAGGAAGGTTGCTATGATTTCAATGCTGAATATTTTCCTCATGTGAAAGGCAGTTAGGCTTGTGGCAGTCTGCTTTCCAGTTACCTGCTGTTATCATTAGACATCTCTTCACAAATTTACCTATTTCCCAGTGTTGCACAACCTCATGCTCCTTCCATTAAGTAAAGCAGTGATAACCAAGCAAGATCCCAATTTCAGCACACTACTCACTGAATCATAACTCTGACAAATTCAATTGCTGATTTTGGAGGTCAAGATCACAGGAAGAAAACAGAGATAGTGCATTAAGGTGTCCTGGAATACTGTACTTATGTAACATTCCAATCTCATATATCTCTACAGTCCTTTTGAGGAACATCTGAAGCATGAAAGATGAGACAGAACATACAG